ATGCAGTACTTCTGTCCAGGATGACCAAGAAAAGGACCCATACAAAATTCAACACAAAATAAAACATCTTTTAAGAAATGCTTACTTCATCAGGAGTAGCCACAAAATTGATGGCTGTATAATATCGATCGTCTTCCTGGGACAGGCTAAAAGTGAACTGATAATCAATGAGAAGGGTATCTATGGAAAGAAAAAATACACACTTAAAAAATGACACAGGCAAATCATACACACCACACACATACAAAACAAAACAGGTCTCTGGAGGCATAGCTTGTTTTACTCACAAATTCAACAGCTATGAAAGGATACTATCCCCAGGATTTTTAGGACAGGGTCTCATGTTACCTAAGCTAGCCTAATCCGGCCTCTGCTTACCAGGTGTGAGAATTACAAGTGTGTGCCACTATAGCCAGTTTACACAGTTTTTTTTTTTTTTCAAGAAACCAAATCTCTGCAGTATCCTTTGAACTACCCAGCAAACCTTACTTACAAAGACCCTGACTGAGGTTTTGGCTCAAATGTAATTTATCTACAAATATTAACTGAGTATCTATGCATGCTATGCTTTACTTAAGGTTACAAAGGTATAGACTAATGACATAGTAGAAACTAGGACTTCGCGGGGAAAGGGTTTTCAAAGTCTGGGACAAAGAATATAATTTTATTATTTATTTAGATAGATATGAAGGAAGGAAGGAAGGAAGGAAGGAAGGAAGGAAGGAAGGAAGGAAGGAAGGAAGAAAGGAAGGAAGGAAGGAAGGAAGAAAACAGTCATATACCAATGTGATATAGCTTTAAAGTATGCTTATTGCCACACTTATACAATTTTGAAGTCTGTTGTACAAATCAACAATAAAAATCTGGCTTAGAAATGGGCAAAAGATTGTCAGGTGTGGTGGCACATGCTTTTAATCCTAGTAATCAGGGGACAGAGGTAGGTGGGAAACTGAGGCCAGCCTGGTCTACACAACAAGTTATAAGCCAGCCAAAGCTACATAATGAGACCCTTGAAGAGGTTTTCTTTTCCCAAGTAAGATATAATAACAGCCAATAAAAATATAAAAGATAACCACACCAAGAATCAGTGAAATAAAAAAATCAAAACTACAATGAGCTACTTTTTCATGTCCATTATTATGGCTACAACTAAAAAAAAAATGCCCCCAAAATAAGTGAAAATTGAAAATTGGTGCCAATAAGGATATTAAAAAAAAATAGAAATGCTGGTGCATTGCTTTTGGAAATGTAATGAACTATAAGGTGTAATAGAAAACAGTAATAGCAGCCCCTCAAAGAAACAAAACAAAACAACCCACCCATAGAATTAGCACACAGTCTAACTGTACTTCTCATGTTGACATTTCTGACAACAGTCAAAAGGTAGATAGAGGCCACACGAGTGACTGCAGGCAGAAGAGGGGACAAGCAACCATGAAAGGCCCAATGCAGTATCAGTTCAGCTGTGACAACGAGGCTTTGCTTTCTCTGGGATCTTTTTTGTGCTGAGGATTGAATCTAGGAGCCTCATGCATGCTAGGGCAGCACTCTACTGCTCAGCTACACGTCCGCCCCAAAGAAAGGTAATTCTGAAGTGTGCTCCATCAGGGATGAGTGTCAAAGGCACCACACCAAGTATTAAGCAGACACGAAAGACAAACACTATGGTTCCATCAGACACCACACCAGGATATTCATAGGAACCAAAAACAGAATGGGTGACAACCAGGAACTGGGAAGCACGGAGTAAGGAAGTTACTGTAAGTTCAACTTACAGATTTATATTATTATTATCATTAACATTATTATTATTATTATTACTACTCCTCCTCTAGCCCAAGGTTGGCTTTGAACTTACTATGTAGCCAAGAATGATCTCGACCTTCTGGTCTTTCTGGGTTTGTGTGCTACCATGTCCAGTTTATGTGGCTCTGGGAACTAAATCTAGAACCAACTGAGCAATAGCTCCAGATGATAAATCCACTTTTAATTTTTTAAATAATGTGCCAAATGGTTTTTCAAAGTGACTACACCCATTTTCAATTTATCTTCTGTTTCCAGATTTTAATCTTTAAGAAGTGACTGGTTTCTCCAGTCATTATGATAGTAAGGATACTATCAATAACTGTCTGAATTGGCTATTAAAACACTCTATCCTTTTTCAGTCAGGTAAGGTCAGGTTTTTGGTTTTTTTCAATATGGTTAACCAAAGAAGGTTTATTAAAACAGATTGAATGCAAAAACAGATTATATCTGTCTTCTACAAACCAGAGAATTAGCTTTTTATATGTCGAATGTATGCTGGCCAAAGATCACCCTGGGGTGTCACTCCTCAGGCGCCATCCACCTTGTTTGTTGGGACAGGTAGACTACCTACCTGGCAGTGAGCCCCACCTCTCTAGTGCTGGAATTCGAAGCACTTGCCACCACACCTGGCTTTCTGTATGAGTTCTGGGTTTCAAACTCAAGTTCTCACGCTTTCACAGCAAGAACTTGACCAACTGAGCTAGCTCCCCAGGCCAGTGTCAGCTTTTGATTATAGTCATTTCAGGCCTCTGCCTCACTGTGTGGTCTTAAATATATAACCTACCTATGGCAATATAATAATGCTGAGTATTTTTGAAGTATTTGTTGATTTTTAATTACTCTTCATTCATATTTTCCTTAGTGAATCTTTGCCTGTTTTTTAAAATTTGTTTTTTTTTTTTCAGTGCTAGAGATTTTTTTTTTTTTGGCTTTTAACTGTAACTTTTCTTATTCAGTTCTTAAAGTTCTCTCTATATCCTATTTATAAGATTTTTTATTAAATGTAATACTCAGAAGGCAGAGGGAGGCAGATTTTTTTGAGTTCAAGGTTAGCCATTCTACACATGGACCAGCTGAGGCTGCATAGTGAGGCCTTTGTCTTAAATTGAAGAAGAGAGGCTGGGGGCAGCAGAGACAGCTTAGTGGCTAAGAGCACTGGCTGCTCTTCCAGAGGACTCAGGTTCTATCACCAGTACCCACATGGCAGTTCACAACTGTTGGTAGCTCCAGATCCAAGGGATCTGACACCCTCTTCTAGCCTCCAAGGGCAACAGGTGTGCACACATTACACAGATATACACGTTGCAATAACATGCATCCACATAAAGTAACAACAAAAATATTTTTGAAGAAAAAAATGTATTATTTGAAAAAGGTTTCATATTATGTAGCTCAGACAGGCCTCAAACTCATGATCTTCCTGCCTGCGTATCTCAAGTGCTAGGATTATGAGCATGTGCCTTTACACCTAGCTTGTTTTTAATTTTTAAAAATGTTTTGTTCTGTCATGCTAGGGATTAACACAGCTATGCAAGCACTCTACTACTGAGCCACATTTGCAGACCCAATTTTTTTAATGTAAGTTTTAAATTTTGAAAAAGTACACATTAATATTTTCTTTGATGAATCAGTTTTAGAATCATAGCTAAGAATTCCATAGGACCAGTGGTCCCAGCTACTTGGGAAGCCTCCCCCAAAGCTACAGAAAAGTATTTTTCCTACCTAAGGTCAAGGACCCCCCATATACACACATACTTTTTTCTACAGTTTGTATTACCATTATATTCCTTTTTCTCTTGTCCTATAATCTGTAACCTACTATGTAGATTCTCATACATAGAGAAAAATATATTTATCATTTTACCTTACCAGATTCACTTTTCACTCCAAGGTAATAATTGGTCTTTTGTCTTATTTATTTGTTCCTAGAGCTATGGTGAACACAATTCAGCCCCAGAGAGGATGGTGAAACCTCCCCTGTATTTCAGAAACTCTTTTGTCACCCTCATCTTAAACGTGACATGACAGACTACACGAGGCAGTGGCAGAGGAGGGAGGCTTTCGAGGGAACTAAGGAAAGCCAGGAAAGGATATCCCTGCGAACTGCTATGGACAGATTAACAGAAACTATGACCACAATTAAAATAGTGTTCACTAAGTCAGAGACATGTCTATGAGTATTTGTTATAGTCCTCAAGCATTTCATTCTCAAACCATGTCAAAGAAAGCAATGTAGTTTTGCTCAACTACTCTGTTTCTAGAAACAACAATTATAAAAACTTACAATAACATGTTCCTTTGAGAGGGTTTCCCTGGTATCGATTTTCTACCTCACATCTAGGGGAAAAAAAAAAAAAAAGAAATTATTTTCTATTGTATTTAAAGCACAGAATCTATATTCATTTTTAAGCAGATCCTTCTACATAAACTGTACCATTATTCAGGTCAGATGGACTAACCCATTTGCATCAGTTTTCCTGCTAATTACTCAGCAGTTTACACCAGCAATAGTCTAAAAGCAACAGATAAACAAAACATGCCCAAAGACGTAAGGCAAGTCCAAGTGTAATAATGCTAGTTCCTACTTAGAAGGAAAACTACATTTTTACTTTTGTATGGATTGTGTATTCTTCCAAAAGTGCAGTTAAAATATTTTTCAAACGTTTCTATCCTGTTCTTCCTATGTAAACTAATCGTATTCATTTATTCATTCATTTATTCTTTTTTTTTTTTTTTTTTTTTTTTTTTTATAGATAGGGTCTTGTTACATAGCCCTTGCTGGCCTGAAACTCAATATAGAGACTCTAATGCTCTGAAACCATAAGCCAAATTAAATGCTTCCTTTTGTAAGTTACTGTGGTCATGATGTTTTATCAAAGCAACAGAAAGTAACTAAGGCATCCTGTCTGAAGCAAAAAAGGCAACCTTCCAAACTAATCTACTCAAATCCCCCGGGAATCCAGGGCAACAATAGGCAAGCAGGTGCACTCGGGCTTCAGGAAGCTCCATGTCCTGGCCCTCACTGGTGATACAGAGTGTGGTACTCACAGCTGGCACTCATCCCCCTTGACACCCTTGGTGGTGCAGAAGCACTTGCCAGTGTTGGTGTTGCACAGCGATGCGTGTCCGTTGCACTTGCACGCTGAGGAGAAGGAATGGACCACAGGTCACAACTGGTTTGACGCTTTATTACCACAGACTTTGATTAAGACAAATAATTCTGCCTGAAATGGGTTTATAGGAAAGAAAGACTAAAGCAAGAGAAATCACGAGTAACATTCAATAATTTTCAGCTAATGATTTATTTCTAATAATATAAAGATGGCATTAAAGGAGTCAACAGTCAAGGCAGGAGGAAAGACAAGGCTCTGTTCTGTTGCTACCTGAAGAAATCGCTGTTTCCCTCTTTGTGACAGACTCTTTCAGAATTACGGGTTTTGTTCAATAAATATTTAAGAGCATTTGTAGTATGTCATATGCTGGGTCCTTGCCTTGTAGAGATGACCGCCCTCAGCCTCATCTAGGGGATCTGCTCTATTGCGGCCACATTTTGAATCAAGTTCCTGAAGGTTCAGATTGGAGAGGTTCCCTAGTTAAGGGAAGCACTTCCTGCAGGACTTCCTAGCCTAGCTTTGACTTCTCCTTTGTTAGGGAGGCTTGTTTTCATGTGAGTAATGAAAAGTATTAGGCTGGAGAAAGGTATACTTAAAAAAAAATCCATGTGAAGAAAAACAAGATCACTGAAAGAAATCTTTCAAACAGAATAGTACAGAGATCATCAGAACGCATGAGGCAGTTGGGAACAGCAGTGTTCAACTCTTCCTCTATGAGTACAGATTTGGTACACTGCATTAATGGAAATCTGTCTTGTCAGTCTGCTCACATTTGAGTCCACTGTCCTCCACGTAGCTCTGAGCATGAGACTTAACCTGAGACCCATTTCCTTGTCTAAATGATGTGGACAGTAACATTATCCATCCCATAGGACTAAGGTGAGAACTAAAGGAGGTATGGATGGCACCTGAAACAGTAAGCATTTAATATATATCAACGCTAAAGCACTATTTTTAAAAAAATTTTAAGTTTTTCAAAGAAGGCATGTCAAGGTTCAATATATAGTCTTCCCATAGTATCTAAAAAGCTGTCTTCTATTATGAACCAGGACTCTGGAAAGTACAGCAAAGTTCCAGACAACCATACTAAGACCCTGCAGAGGCCACAAAGGAAGACGTGATTTTTCTAGAGGCAGCTTAGGACATGGGGATGGTCACCTGGAGACACAAGCAGGCTAGATGTTAAGATCAAAACATATTAGATGTGGCTCCCGACTCGGCTATCGCTTACTGTGAGACTCGGGGAAGGTTACTTGATTTGGAGGGATAAAGGCATCTAGGTCTTCAGTGGCTGTCACCACAAAGTCATAAACACATTTATTATTCAGGAATATTTAGTGTTCTTACAATTACCTGATTGATAAGTATGTTTGAAGCAAGTTGGAAAGCCAGGGAAAATTATAGGGACAGGGGAAGGACCAGGAGCCCCTCACCTCAGTCTGGCTGGGCCTCTCACTAACTGAGAAGCAAGGATTCCAGCAGTTAACGTGCTGTGAAGGCTGCTGACAGAGATGCTACGCCTTCTGTAGATGAGTATTGTATGTTCAAACAGCCATAACCCAGGCTGACGGCCTGAGCATATACGACCATGGGCATGGCCTTAATCCTTTCCCCAGACATCACCTGAGAATCTCTAACAAGACTGAACTTTGCCTCAGAGATGTCCTACGCACTTGCACCTCTGTGATCTGCAAGCTTTACGTATCTCCTGGAATCCTGCCAGGTGTCTCTCAGAAACCACTGTGATCATGTTTAGGTTTCTCAGTACCTCTTTGAGGGTAACAGATTTGAAAGCTATGAAAATCCTCTGTATAAGAAGCCTATGTGGTCTATAGATCTTTCTTTCCAAGTGCTTCTCTTTCTCTTCACATAAAAGCAGGGTCTCAGGTAGCCCAGGAAGGCCTCAAACTTCAGTAGAGGATAGTCTTGAGCTTTTGATCTTTCTGTCTCTACCCCCCAAGGGATGGGATTACAGGGGAATGACACCTGGTAAGTTTATGCAGCCCTAGGGAATGAACCCTGGGCTACATGCATGCTAGACCGAGGCTCTACCAATTAATCCATATCTCTAGCCCTACAATATGTGCTTCACATCAAAGTCAAAGACCTAGTTTTAACTGATTTGAGGTCCCTCAAAGACAAGGAGCTGTGCCATCCTTGATATGCTTGTTCTTAAGGCACAGTGGCTACATTTCTGCTGAGCTGCATCTGGCCTGGCTCCACAGAGTAGCACCTATACTAATTCATTCATTGTTTAACGATGCCTTCTGTTTCTCTTATAGCCCTTATCACCCTATGTGAATCTTGTCTGAGAATCTCCCGAAGATCAAAGGTCTATGCAAAATTTGGTTCAGGAAACCCAGAAAACTGTGTACCTGAGAAACTGAAGAATTTGCACTTGACTTTGTATCTTTGGGAGCTTCTTTCAGGTTGTTTTGAGCATACAGAAATTAACTGGCTAAACTGTAAATAGAAAATAAAAATACCCTGGGCGAAGGGAAAATGCTTCAGTCCTTAGAGGCTGGACTCCCCTGCAGCCAAGAAAGGCTGGATTCATTCTTAAGGTGCCTCTGAGCCTTCATTCCACGGATTTGCGTGAACCCACACACCTGTGCCGAGACACTTCTTAACAGCATAGTATTGAATACTTTGTAACTTCAGCAAGAAATTTTACTGTAGAGTAGTGGTAAATGACACCAGACAGGTACTAATCACATTTCTGTTGTGCTGTGGATGTTATCAAACATCCCTTATCAAGCTCTCCCTTCATCTGCACAGCCATGTCCTGGAGAGGTTAGAGATGCTCAGCTAGACTGCCTTCTCATCCCTGCCTGGCTCGGGGTCAGTTCTGAAGGGCCACAGTAAAGAATCTAGAGGTGGGATCTGAGAAGCAGATACAGATATCTTTTCTTGCGGGGGGAGGGAGGGCATTGACAGGAGCATGCAAACATGCTGTGTGTACACAAAGGCCAGAGGTTGCTATCGGGCAGTCTCTCCCTGCTTCTCCACTTTGAGACAATGTCTCATGTAGCCTGGGTTGGACTTCAATTCATCACATAGCTAAAGATAACCTTAAACTTCTGAGCCTCCTGCCTACAGATCTTGAGTGCTGGGTCCCAGGCATTTTTTTTCCCCCTAGATGACAGCTGCATTTTCACGGTACCCATTTTCACTTGGTGCTGGGATCAAACCCAGGGCTTCCTGCATGCTAGGCAAACACTATACCAACTGAGTTTTTTCTTGGCCTGAGAACTCTTTTCTTAATTAGAGCTTAAGGGGTCTTTCAACTATAGGATTCATACTATTTTTCAATTGGAGACTGGAACAAATAAAAAAATGAATTAATAAATGTGACTTACTGATTAAAAAGACATTAACTTACATTCTAACAATAAAGTAGCCTATGGCTTTCAGACTTGAGTGGGAAAATGTGGGACTATTCAAATCTTAAAACTATCTGAGAAGTACTGTGTGAAGCTGGGCATTTGGAGGTATAGGCAGGAGGATAAGGAGTTCAAGCTTATCTTCAACTCCCCCCAGATCCTGTCTAAAACCAACCAAACAAAAACCAAACCCAGGCCATTGCAAAGACTTGATCTGGGGTTCTCAGAGGGTGAGTTGCCCTCCCACCACAGACTGGTACAGTCAGGTGTTGCAGTCTCTGATGGAAGTGTAGTTCAGAAGGGGGCTCCCCTGGCCGCCACAGACTTTCAAATGTTCCATCACTCCTCTGTCTTGTCTGAGCTTCCAGCAGAAGACATCTCTGGATGCCTCTGTGGTACCTTGGTATAGAAAGAGAAACTGAAGGTATGTCTTCATTCTGACTCAGCGCCAGGACTTCTCATTCCTAGCTTTTTCCTCTCTCCCCCCACAATGCTGCTGACCTGGCTCCTCCACAGTGAGAAGACCACCCAACCCAGCACTGTTCTGCTTCACCTGAGCTGATGTGCTTCCATGGGAGGCCTTTTTCCTTTAAGATATTTAAGTCAAATGCAAGTACTGCACTGTTCCACCTGACTTGTGACAAACAAAGTTGACCAGTGTGACTTACGCTGACATCTGCCTCCATTAGTCGGATCACCATAGAAGCCGGATATGCAGGTCTCACAGTGCTTGCCGGTGGTCAGGTTCTCACACTTCTCACAGATACTCTGATTAATACATTTGCTGTGTCCATTGCACTGGCAAGCTGAAAGGCAAAGAATTGTAAGGGTTCTGTGTCTCCCACAGGAGGACTGGGTGAGTAAATTTCACAGATTTATTTGCATATGCTCTAAATTTTAATCATCAGCATTAGTTGTGCATGGGTGTCTGTGCCTGTAGTTCCAGCTACTAGGAAGGAAGAGGCAGGCAGCATCCCTATCCTGTGGACCCATCCTGCTTAAGCCCAGAGGTTTGAGGTCAGCTTGGGTAACATAGTAAGATTCTCATCTAAAAAAAATTGTTTTCAATAAATAAAAAATAAAGAAAGGAAAAAAAGCTGGGTGTGGAATTCAAGGCCATCCTTAGCTACACAGCAAGTTTGAGGCCAGTTTAAAAAACACAAACAAAATAAAACAAGGTTCACTAAAAACTAATCTGAGAAAATAAAAATACCAAAACCAAATTAGTCTTGAAAAACCAAACATATTATCAAAAAAAGGTGAAAGTCTACAGCAATATAAAAATAATTTTTGTTGTTATTCATTATAAAGACTCATGCTTATGACAGCATACTTGAAAAATAAAGGAAAGAGGGGGAAAAAAATCAAACATAATCCCACTACCCAGAAAACATGGTTCATATTTGGTATTTTCCCTTTCAGGATTTTTAAAATTATTTTTCTTTCTTTTCTTCTCCTTTTTAAAAAATCAGTAATAGTAAGTGACTATCCAATAGATAAGTCATCTGCACAAAAATAAATAAATAAGCAGAGAAACTTCAGAATTAAATGACTTCTTATATAAAATGAATCTAACAGCTATCCACAGACTATTCTACCTAAATGTCAAAGAATATACATTCTACTCAGCAGTAACGGAAGCACATGCTGGGACACAAAGGAAACCTTAACAAATACAAAGTCTATGTATCCTATCTGCCCATTATGTAATAAAACTTAAAATCAACAGTGAACAAAACTCTAGTAAGTGTATAAACCCATGAAGATTAAACAACTCATTACTGAATGATGAAAAGGTCAAAGACAAAAAAATCAAAATGTTCCTGGAACTAAATTAAAATGAAAACACAACACGACAAATCCTCCAGGATACATTAAAAGAAGTTATAAGAGGAAAATGAGACCTGAAGGCCTCGTTAAGAAATCCAAAAGAGCCGGGCGGTGGTGGCGCACGCCTTTAATCCCAGCACTCGGGAGGCAGAGGCAGGCGGATCTCTGTGAGTTCGAGGCCAGCCTGGACTACCAAGTGAGTTCCAGGAAAGGCGCAAAGCTACACAGAGAAACCCTGTCTCGAAAAACCAAAAAAAAAAAAAAAAAAAAAAAAAAGAAATCCAAAAGAGCCCAAATAAATGACTTAATGATGCAAGGGGAAATCCTGAAAAAACAAGAACTAAACCCAACCCAAACCCAGTAGATGGCAAGAAATAATAAAAATTAAAGAAGAAATTACTGAAATGGGAACAACAAAAACAAAAACAATACGAAGAACCAATGAGTCTCTAAGAGCTGGTTCTTTAAGAAGGTAAGAAGAGTGAGAGACCCTTGGCCGAGCTAACCACAAGAAAGGAAGAAAGAAATGAACAGAATCATAAATGAACAGGGAAACATTATAATAGGCACCAAAGAAATACAGAATGTTATAAAGAAATATTTTTAAAACCCATACATATTCCATTAAGTTGGAAATCTAAAAGAAATGGGAGAATTTCTTGATTCATCCAAACTATCAAAGTTAAATCATGTGGCAATTAGCAACCTAAACAGACCATAGCAAACAAGGAGATTGAAACAGTAATAAAAAGCCTTCCAACTAGCCGGGCGGTGGTGGCGCACGCCTTTAATCCCAGCACTCGGGAGGCAGAGGCAGGCGGATCTCTGTGAGTTCGAGGCCAGCCTGGACTACCAAGTGAGTTCCAGGAAAGGCGCAAAGCTACACAGAGAAACCCTGTCTCGAAAAACCAAAAAAAAAAAAAAAAAAAAAAAAAAAAAGCCTTCCAACTAAAGAGAGTCCAGAACCAGATAGACTCATAGCAGAATTCTACCAGACTTCAAAAAAGAACAACAATCAATAATTCTTACATTTTATATATACACACACACACACACACACACACACACACACACACACACACACACACACGAACAGAAAGATCACTCCCAAACTCATTCCCAAAGCCAGAATGACTCTAATACCCAAAATAGGTAAAGACAACAAAATAACCAAACTACAGACCAGTATCCCTGACAAACACAGATGCCAAAGTCCTCAATAAAATACTAGCAAACACAATACAAGCATATATCAAGAAGATCATCCATCACAAGCAAGTGGGCTTTATCCAAGAATTTCAGGTTGGCTCAACATATCTAAGTCAGTAAATAGAATAAATCATATAAGTAAACTTAATGATGAAATCACATCATTATCTCAGTAGATGCAGAAAAGGGCTTGGAAAAAAAAATCCAAAATGCTTTCATGACAAAAGTCCTAGAGAGAACAAGAGTGGAGTGAACGTAACTTAGCATAATAAAAGCTGTATATGACAAACCCACGGCCAACATTATCTTAAATGGTGTGTGTGTGTGTGTGTGTGTGTGTGTGTGTGTGTGTGTGTGTGCGCGCGTGTGCGTGTAAGCAATCCCATTAAAATAAAAACTAAGACAAGGCTGTTCACAATCCCTATTCCTTGTCAATACAGTGCTGGAAGCACTAGATGGAACAATAAGGCAGGAGAAAGAAATTAAAGGGATACGAATAGAAAAAGAAGAAGTCAAATTATCCCTTTTTATATATGACATGATATTATACACAAGAAATCTCAAAAAGTCCATCATTAAACTTCTAGAAACAATCAACAATTTCACTAAAGTGACAAGGTACAAAATCAACTTTCAAAAATCAGTAGCTCTGGAACTGGAGAGATGACTCAGCAGATAAAAGCACTGGTTGTTCTTGCAGGGGACCTGGGTTCAATTCCCAGCACTTACTTGGCAGATCACAACTGTCTGTTAATCCAGTCCCAGGGGATACGATGCCATCTTCTGGCCTCAGAGGATACTCTATGCACATGATGCACAGACATAAGTTCCCAAAAACACTCATACACATACATTTTTTAAAAATTAAACTGAAAAAAAATACTGAGAAAGAGATCATGGACACACTCCTTTTAAAATACCAAAGATAATACAATATCTAGGAATAAACCTAACCATGGAGGTGAAGGACTCCTACAATGAAAACTCAAAATCTCTAAGACAGGGATCAAGAGAGGCACTAGAAAATGGAGTAATCCTGTGTTCATGGATCATTAGAATTAATATTGCGAAAATGACCATTTACAAAAAAAAAAAAAAATTACAGATTCAATGCAATCGCAATCAAAACACCAACAACATTCTTCACAGAAATAGGAAAAAAAAATCCTAAAATTCATATGGAACCAGAAAAGACTCTAGATAGCAAAAGCAATGCTGAGCAAAAGGAATAAAAGTGATGGGACTGCCATCACAGATTTCAAGGTATACCACTGAGCTAGAGTAATAAAAACAATTTGGTATGGGCACAAAACAGACATGCAGACCAATAGAATAAAACAGAAGAGTCAAACATATATGTTCATAGCTACAGCCATCTCGTATTTCACAAAGAGGCAAAACACATACACTGTAGGAAAGACAACATCTTCAACAAATGATGCTGGGAAAACTGGATGTCCACATGCAGAAGAATGAAAATAGATCTGTATCCATGACCTATCACAAAAACTAACTCCAAATGGATCAAAGACATAACCCAAACACTGCAACTTCTAGAAGAAAACACAGGCAGTACCCTACATGATATATGTGTAGGAAAGGACTTTCTAAGGAGGACTCCACGTGCCCAGGAATTGAGGCCAACAACTGGTAAATGAGACTTCATAAAGTTAAAAAGCTTCTGTGCAGCTAAGAAAAAAAAAAATCAACCAAGTGAAGAAAAAACCCACAGAATGGGGAGAATCTTTGCAAGCTATACATCTAACAGAGGATTAATACCCAGAAAATCCAAAGAACTCAAAAATCAGAGTCAAGGAAACGAACAACCCAATTTAAAAATGGTCTGGGGATCTGTGCTGGCTGCTTTTATGTCAAGGTTTATTCTTATAAACAGGTAGTGAGAGAGCTGAACCAGGATACACAGGTATCTTACCTGGACAGTGAATGAAAGACCAGTTGTATCTGCTGCCCTCTAGACACATGCTGGAGTTCAGAAGAGGCTGTGGATACACAGTTCCAGTAGAGGCCTGTGAAGGCATCCTCACGGGTCCTTTATAGCTGCCCTCGATACATTTCCCTTTCCCAGTATTGCTAGGATCAGTACACCAGCCACAGCCTGGTTGCTCCAAGCAATGGCTGCAGGTACAGTAGCCAGAGCAATTTTCAGCTATTAAAAAAAAAATTAAACTTGTAATTCACTATCACAAGTAGATTTGAATTCATTGATTACTTTTTCTTTGACAGATGATTTACTTCCTTGAATTAATACTAATACTAGTACCTTATAGTGACCACTGAAATGAAATAATTTAAAGAGCCCAGTATTTTACACAACATAGAACAGAGACTTTTCCCACCTTTTCAATACAAGGATGTTGGAAGTGGAAGGGACCTATGAGGTCCTCTACTGGAAATCACTTTCCAAACAGGCAGATTAAGATGCGGAGACATTATAGAGATTGAGAATTATAGAGATTGAACTATAATATGACCCTGAAAAAGAAAAGTTATTCTGTACCCTGTGACCTATCCTAGATTTATCTGATTTACTGCCTGGATCATTGTACCCAATTCTATATACACATTTTAATCTGGAAGGACCAGCCTAACCATCTTCTGAACAGACTTGAGCAGAAGGTCAAGTTCAACTTGCCTGTAAATGTTCAAAGGCTCGGTTCACTTACGTGGGCAGCTGCTCATTGTATACCACTCCATACATTGGCCAAAAGGGAAGGAGGCCACATAGGCATTGGAGTCTACACACTGCTTCATGTTGCTGCACCACATGCACTCGGAGCTGCTGCTAGTGCACTCGCCACAGGCTGTCCGCAAGGCACATGGTGTCCGGCACTGCTTGGCACTGTGGTTTGCTGGAAATTAAGCCCAAAATGGACACTGGTCAGCTAAAATCAAAGACTTTACAATACACATTATGAAATCTGTTCAGCACTATACTACATGGAGGAAAACCCAGGAAACTTGGGAGTCAGAGGTTCTATTTATTCAGGTGTACTTAAGCATTTAGAAGAAATGGACTTTCTTTTCAGAAAGCACTGAAGACAAAGGTAGGCAAAGACTGACGAACTGCGGGGGAGGGGGGGTCTCAGAACTAACCTGAGTTTGTTAAAGTCTACACTGAAAAAGCTGAGGGATGACAGCATTCAATTCACCAAAGCATTTAGCATTCAACAAGGAGGAGAAGCTTTCATGTAAGAAGAGATGACTCAGTGGTTAAGAGCATGCACTGCTTTTCCAGAGGACCCGAGTTCACCTCCTGACACTCAGTCAGGTGAATCATCACCAGCTGTGACTCCAGCTCCAAGGGATCTGACACCTCGTCCTCCAAGGGCACCTCTACTTGCATTCTCTCTCTCTCTCTCTCTCTCTCTCTCTCTCTCTCTCTCTCTCTCTCTCTCTCTCTCTCACACACACACACACACACACACACACACACACACACACACACACGATTACAAGATAAATAAGTATTTTTTAAGTATTTTAGAAACCCTCTCCTAAGGCAGCTCCCATGCTGTGAATCTCCTCTACACCTCAGTATTACTCAGGCAAAGTATAATTATTTTCCTGAAACAGGACCTGCTGGGAATGGAATGCAGCCTCCCAAAACAACCCACACTTGCCCCTCTATTTCTGAGTTCTCATTTGTGTGTGGTTGCCCTGGGCCTGCTTTCATGGAGCCCAACCTTAGCCTCAGCACAGGACTGTCACAGCCTGGGGTTGGCTCTCAGTGTCTTGCCATGGCCAATCCCCCAACCCCACCCCCTCCAAGGCAGCTTTCTGAGTACTGTCCTGATCTGCTGCTTTCTAAAGGTCTCTTTCTTCCATAGCCTTTCTCTGCCAACACCAAGGAATTTACCTTTCAGAACACATCTCAACACTTTTATGCTCAACAAAGCAGTCTAGCTCAATATCAGATTATGTTCCCTCAGTCATTTTATTGTTGGTTTTGAGTATGACTCAGACCAATCTGAAGCAAAGACTATTTCATTCTGCATTGGGATTTGTTTGAAATAAGTATGCCTGAATCGGTGTTCTCGAATTGGCACCATGAGTATTTTATACATCTCAGTATTCCATCAACTATGTCTCTGTGCTTTCCTAGCAAACCTCTTGGAGCACTGGACCCCTCCGTGTCCTTACCAGGCCTTTCACAAACACTGCCATTGAGTGGGTTGATGCAGGTTGCAGCCTTCAATCCCCGAGTACTAGGTTCTGACAAGATCCCACAGAAGCCAGCATCACTGGGCTCAGATGGCATCCACTGCAGCAAACTATTTGTAAATGGAGACATATCCTCCCAGCACCAGTAAGACACATTGATCTTCCGAAGACCAACCCATGGAGTCAGAGTGAGCTTGGACTACAGGCAAAAGAAACACAGTTATGAATACAACCGCTGTCTTTACCAAAACAGGCGTTGGCATAAAAACCACTAGTTTGGGTATACCTCACAGATAAGTGGAAAGCTCCTTATTCCCCAAACTCAGGCAAGGTAAATTAAAATAAGTGATCATTTCAATATGATCGTTTTGCAAAGCATAAAAATAGCTCAAAGAAGATAACACAGCAAGACTCCCAGAGATCAGCAGTAAAGCAATAATCAAGTTTCAAACTACTTATGTTCTACGACAAGTGCTATAACGAAATGATCATCCACAAATATGGTTCATAAATAAAGTCACCTTACTAATACTTATAAAATATTGGTTGTATGACTGACCACAGATCATTACCTGAGCCTCCATGGCCAGTTCAGATGATTTAAAATTTGTACCTTTAGCCAAGGGGCGGGCACAGGCTGACACATACATTTTCTTTTCCAGTTTTCCTGCTGTGCACCTGCCAAAACTCGGGCTCATCTGTGTTGTTCGAGGTGACAGATTTCCTTCTTCTTTTAAAGGTGAGATCATGTGTATATGTGTATGTGTCACATTTTAGCTAGTTATCTAACTCCACACTACATTTTATTTTAAACAGTTATGAACCTGTATAATAGTTTCTGCCTCCTCTGCTTTTGTTGCAAGGAGTGAAACCCAGTGAGTGGCTCCTAGGCCTGCATTCTACCACTGAGCTCCTGTCTTGGATAGTCCTGAAATTTCTTTCTCATTTCAACTTTATTTGTTTGGGTTTTTTGAGACAAGGTGCCCCTATGTAATCCTGGCTGGCCTGGAATTCCCTATATAGACGAGGGTGGACTTGAACTCACAAAGATCTGCTTGTCTCTGTCTCCTGAGTGCGGGGATTAAAGGCATGATGCACAGTGCCTGGTTCCCTGTTGCAACAAAACAACAAATCTTTATAGGAGCTGGAGAGATGGCTCTGCTGATAATGCTGCTCTTCCAGAGGACCAGTTTGGATCCCAGCACCCACATCAGGCAGCTTACAACTGTAACTCTAGCTCCAGGAGTTCCAACACCCTCTTCTGGCCTCTGTGGGCAGCCACTTCTCCCCTAGGCTCCCTCAGTATCCATGCTAGTCTCCTGGCCTTCTCCCCCAGATACCTGTCCTCCTTATAATCCACATGATTTGTTCACAGCACACCCCTCTCACCTCGTTTCCTCTTGCTATCTCAATATCTCCACTATTCTCTCCAATTTCCCAAGCCCTGGCCATGCCTAGTCTGCTTCTTTTTCTGTCTGCTCTGGATTCTTCCAGATGCCTCTGGATGCTTTCTCTCTCTTATTCACAATAAAAAACCTCCCCATTAATGGGGCGGTCATGTCAGCAGTTCTTCACTGTCCCCTCCCCGTCAGACGCCTAGTGTCAAACACCTGGGAGGGGCACAAATGGACCCCTTCCCAAGGGGCCCAGCCTCTCCCAGCCAAACCAAGGTGCTGATTTGACTTTCCTAAGGTATGGATCATTTGTTTCTGCCACCCACCATATTTGACTCCAAATTCTCAAGTCCACCTATCCAGCTGCTTCTCCTCCACCTGCTCTAATCACTCATCTCTCTTTGTCTACTCTGGTGTCATCTCAGAGCTGACTGCTCAGTCTATGTCTCCCTCAGCTCCTGGAGTCTACTTCTGCTACAAAAGTCCTGCCAGTATGGCAGACACAAAATGTATGCTAAGGGCGCAGTAAAGAAACTGCAGATACAACTGCTCCATTATTAGGGTAAGGTTTTTTATTGTGAATAAGATAGAGAAAATATCCAGAGGCATCTGGAAGAGTCCAGAGCAGAGAGAAAGAGAAACAGACTGGATATGGCCAGGGCTAGGGAAGTGGGAGAGTAGGAAAGAATAGTGGAGATAACAAGAGATAAAGAGAGAATATGTGAGGTGGACGAATCGTGGATTATAAGGAGGACAGGTATCTGGGGAGGGAAGGGCCAGGCGACTAGCATGGACTTTGCAATGTGTAATAGGTACTTGTGATACTGAGGGGTCTGGAGGCTAGTATGTGCCTTGATATGCTGTTAGGCGCCACAGGGAGCCATATGTTTCTTCTACCAGAGGTAAGGAAATGACTCCTTTTGGACAGTTGGGAACCTGTAGTGGGTAGCTGTTACAGCTTTGACCTGGAAGTACTACCACCAGTGAGGCTTCCAGTAACTGTCACGCCTACCTATGGCCTGCCCCTGAGGTGGGCGAGACGGGAACCCTTAAGACCCAAGATCCGGATGTGCTGGCTCTCTTGGTTCCTGGTAATCCCGGATGTTGGATGGTAGATTGCGCGGAGTTCTCTAGAGAACACCGCTGGACTGCACTTCACCTCTCCCAGATCCTGTAACCTATCCCTTTACTTGTTGTAAGTAAAACCCTCAAATAAACCTCCCTTTTAACTATGTGGAGCTGCCTTAACACTTCCACCAATAGGAACCAGTTTCATAAGTTCCTGCGGGATGCTAGCTTTTATTTAACTGTCAGAAATCCTCCTATAGTCCAGTATGCGCTCATTTCTGGATATACGGACTTCCTGAGACTTAACAGCCAGGACCCACACCATGCTTCCACATGTCATGAGAAGTTGGTGCCAAATGAGAAATGCTGTGCTGCACTCTGTTTTCTCCTGGCTAGACAAAAACATATACTCTACATCTCTCTGTACCACAGCCAGCACAGATGGAATAATTGCTTTGTGAATATCTACCTAATTGACTGGAGCATCAAAATTCTTGGATTTTGCATGAAAAATGCCAAATGGAATCATGCAGTATCAACTAGAAGCCGTTCAAGAGCTTGGCTAGCCAGTAAGACTTGGACCTTTCTGAATTCAGAAGCCTTAGCAAGAAAGTGCCCTCTTCTGGGCTAGCCAGGTCTTACACTTTTATTGGGGATCACATTACATGCTATAATAATACCTTAAGGGAAGCAAATGGCTTAATAACACCTAGCTAACTAGCTTTGTACTATCCCTTCTCCCAAGAAGAATCTAGATATAAAACCAACATAAAATAATCTGATGTCACCAGATGTGGTGGTCTGAATAGGTATGTCCCCCATAGACTCTTGGCTTATAGAGTGGCACTATTAGGAGGTGTGGCTTTGTTGGAGAAGGTGTGGCCTCGTTAGAGGAAGTGTGTCACTGTAGGGGTGGGCTCTGAGGTCTCATATGCTCAAGGTACGCCCAGTGTTGGACACAGTTCACTTCCTGTTGCCTGCAGATCAATATGTAGAACTCTCAGCTCCTTCTCTAGCACCATGTCTGCCTGCACACTGCCATGCTTCTCATCATGATGATAATGGACTGAACTTCTGAAACTGTAAGCCAGCCCTAATTAAATGTTTGCCTTTATAAGAGTTGTCATGGTCATGGTGTCTCTTCACATCAATAGAAACCCTAAGACACCAAAATATGTGCACATATTACTATTAATTCCATATATTCATACCTTAAAATTTACTTAATAAACATGACTAATAAAAATATTTAAAGTACTGAAAGGCATTAAAACAAGGGACTCTGTGAGTTCGAGGCCAGCCTGGTCTACAGCACAAGATCCAGGAAAGGCGCAAAGCTACACAGAGAAACCCTGTCTCGAAAAACCAAAAAAAAAAAAAAAAAACAAGGGACTCTGAAGTACAGGTCCACAGTCTATTATTAATCATTTACTGGAATTCTGTCTCTGATCAGGTACATGATATGCAACTGTGGCCTTCTACACATAAGCTGGGGTTGTGCCCTCAGAAGAAAGGTGGGTCCTAGAAACCAAAGTTCTGAAAATGTTAACTCACCATGCTCTGAGATGACTGCATTAACCGAAGATGCTTAAGGACAAATTCCACCTTCTTCTGGGATGTAAGGGAAGCCAAAAAGGCATTGTGGTTCCTACAGGACAACTTAGCATTGTCATAATTTTCCTTAGCAGTAGTGATTTTCAAACATGAGTTTCCAACCAAATGCCAGTCAATGCCGCAGATATTTTCTTTTATAAAGGGGAGAGAGGAAAAAACAAAGTTTTAGAATTATATAGTAGTATATTACTAGTTCAATTATTGAACATCTAAGCTCATTCTTCTGATCTGAATTCCAGGTGCTTCATTAGGATGTGGTGAAAGTATCAGACATATAAGAAAAAACTTTTTAAATAAAATTACTTATTTTTTAAATTATGTTTATATGTGCCACTTGAGTATGGGTTTTTATACATGTGACTACAGTGCCCACAGAAGCTATAAGAGGGCATCAGATCCAAGCTGAAGTTACAAGTGGTTGTGAGCTCCCCAGAATGGACACTGGGTACCAAGTTTGGGTCCTCTGGAAGAACAGTATGTACTCTTAACTGCTGAGCCTTCTCTCCAGCCCCAGAATAAAAGACCTTTTTAAAAGATTCACCAGTAACATTTCCTGGCTCTCAGGAAGTATACTCTGGGTCAATGCTCCTACATCCTAAAGGCAAACGTGCTGCCATGGTTAGAGATTGGTGCAACTCTTCTTGAAGAAAAATGAAAAACAAGACTAAAATCTTGAATGAAGAACATACAAATAAATATGTATATGGAAGGATGGGATAGAAAACTGCAAATGGGGGCTTAGGAGATGGTTCAGTGGGTAAAATACTGTGCCAAGTCTAAGGACCCAGTTCAGATCCTCAGGACCCACAGAAAAAGCCAGGCACAGTTTTGCTCGCTTGTAATCTCAGCTAAGGGCTGGAGGTAGGAGGATGCCTGAGGTTTTCGAGTCAGCTAGTATAGATAATCAGTGAGCTCAACATTCAGTGAAGAGCCCTATCTCAAAACAATTGAATGTGGATAGTGATAGAGGAATATACCGAAGTTAACCTCTGGCCTCCAATGCTCACACATGTATACTTATCTGTACAAAGATGTGCATATACAGGAAAAAGTAAACTGAAAATGGAACTGAATTGGGGAATGGATAAATTTAAGTCTCCAAATGCTACCCTGTTTTCATATCTTGAGACAGAAGGTATAAGCAAATGCACAGGCATACCAAAAATGAGGTGAAAGGGGAGACTGGTTTAAGGAAAACCTCAAAGTAATATGGCACACAAAGGAAGTCTACAATCTCTTCCTGTGATTGTGCTGAACTCATATAAAGAGTTACATGGAAGCACGGTTGCTCCTAGACACTAGCATGAAAGTAAACAAGCCAGCAATTTCCTCAGAACCAGAGCACACTGTTAATGTTCATTAACTGGAACAGCTATTGAGATCGGTGAGAGGCCTGTGAAAAGGTATAACTTAAGAGCAGAAAAACTTTCTCCTCAGAATGTGGTATTGGCAGTGAGTCAAAATTACAGGCTCTCAAGGCCTGTATTAGAATATGCCTTTTAACAGGTACCTAGGTATTCTATTGGATATTAAAGTGTGAGATGCTGTGGGATGTTCTGTATGTTCAATGTGTTGCTCTGATTGGTTAATAAATAAAACCACTGAATGGCCAGTAGCCAGGAAGGAAGTATAGGCGGGACAAGGAGAGAGGAGAATTCTGCAAACAGGAAGGCTGAGTGAGAAGACGCTGCCAGCCGCCGACATGAGTACCAACATGTAAGATACTGGTAAGCCATGAGCCATGTGGCAAGGTATAGATTTATAGAAATGGGTTAATTTAAGATAGAAGAACTAGATCACAAGAAGCCTGAGCCATTAGGCCAACCAGTTTAAATAATATAAGCATCTGTGTGCTTATTTTATAAGTGGGCTACAGGACTGCCGGGGCTTGGTGGGAGCTGGAGAGCAGCTCTCCAGCTACAGTGAGACACAAAACAAAAAGCACAAAAAGTCTGCAGTGGTTTGAACAAGAATGATCCCCACAGGTTCATACATGTGAATGCTTATTCACCAGGGAGCGGCACTATTAGAGAAGGACAGGGGACATAGCCTTGTTGGAGTAACTGTGGGCTCATTAGAGGAAGTATGTCACCGGGGTGGACTTTGAACTTTCAAATGCCCATGCCAGGTCCCATCTCTATAACTTTCCCTCTGCCTCTCTGCTTATGGATCAGGATGTAGCTCTCAGCTCTCACTCCAATATCGGCCTGTGTGCTGCCAGGCTCCTGCCATGATGATAATATCCTCTGAAACTATAAGCAAGCCCCCAATTAAATGCTTTCTTTCATAAGAGTTGCCTCAGTAATGGTCTCTTCATAGCAATAGAACATGAACTAAAATAAAGCCCATTTGGCAAACTAAATAAAATTCGTTCAAAGAGTCCAGATCAACTGCCCTACTCAAGCTTCAGATGTTGGAGAGCCATAGAAGCCCTGCTTCCAGGATATCCTGATCAAGCAAATATATCACAGAGATTTAGTCATGGCTAGCTGGTCTTAGGACCTAAAATTGTCACTCTGAATCTCCACTGAAATAGTCAGGAACGAAGGTCCCATCAGGAGACGAGGCTGATGCAGAAATCTTTCCTCACTGAACTGTCAGGAAGTGCTTCCTACGGGGGGCCCTGACTGCTGCTGAGACTACCTACAGAGCTCTAGGACCAGGGGATCGCAGCAGCAGGAGGGAAAGTGGGACATGGTTTGTGATGTGGATCTCAGCTACCGTCTGGTTCTCAGAACAGATGACGCTTCCCTTTATTTCAAAGGCCAGTAGAATAAATATGTAAGAACCATGTTTAAGTTAAAAACAAACGCAAAATAATTCCCCCAAATAGTGAGAGGGCTAAATAGACAGAAAATGCTCCTCTTTCCTAGGTTCAACCTAACCTAGGGAGGGAGGATCACGTTTTGGCCCTTCACAGAGGGTATTCCAGTGCAAGGCCTACCTACCTGGCAGAGCAATGCACTCCTGATTCCGGGGCTCCCACTGGCAGTTCTGGTCGAGGGCACAGCTCCTGCAGCTTGTTTTCTTATTGCAGTAGTACATAGGGTTATCCTTGGGACAACTTTCATACTTGGAAATGGAGATCTAGAACACAGTGGAGAAGTGCTTTTGTTTATATTCACACAAAGAACTCAGTGAGGACTAACAGGGTCCTAAAGACAGTAATATAACCAAGTACGGTAACTGTAGATAGGAAGGAAGGGAAGGAGGGGGAGAAGGAGGGAGGGAAAGAGGGAGAGAAGGAGGTAGACAGACAGACAGACAGACAGAATTAAATAGATAAAATGAACAAGAAGTGGTACTATAGTGGGAACACCACAGTGCATTCTCACTAACATGCCTTTAGCTGGCAAGGTAGCCCACTGGAACCACCTCCACCACCACACCTCAGTCAACATTTATCTGTAAAATGTGAAAGCTGAACCTGAGACTTTTCTAGGGCTCCTCCCAACCCCCTGCCCAGAGAAGCAGTATATAACTTTTTATATCTTATGAACTGCATTAAACTGGGAAGAAAACATGTCATGAACCATTAAAGACAATAAAAGCTGGGTCACCTTATCTTCTTTAGTCTATTATCATGTAAATTTAAAATAGAATTTGGTGAGCACAAAAGTTATGCTAAGTCAAAATATAAGACAAAGACATTCTGTAAAACACTTTTTCTGAGTCACTACACACAAACCTCAGTAGCTACAGAGACCCTTATAATCAGGATGTATACAACATTCCTTCCTAAGAGAAAATCTGAGCAATGGTTAAAATTCAAATCTACATGTCATTTTAAAAATAAATCTGCAGTATACCCAAACTCAACAAGCATTTTTTTCTTTCCTCTAAAATCCTTGAAAAACAGCATCTGACCTGGCCTTCTGTGCAGCTGTGGTTCACAGGGACACAGTGATCATTGCACCAGTGGCAGTCATTGGTATTTGCTGTGCAGCTGTAACAATCTGTGTGTTGGTCACATCTGTCATGGTCAAGGGCTATGAAGAGAAGAAGAACACATCAACTATATGGCAGCCTCTGTTGAGCAGAATCTGAGACAGATAAGCTCCTAACAATGGTTGGGAAGCAAATATAGGGTTAAACTGAAAGGAAAAAAAACACCGCCATGTTCAGGTTAAAATAAAACAGATGTAAGCAGACAATTTGAAAAGTACTGTTTTGTAACTGTCCCCTCAAAAAGTATACAGAAAGTGAAAAGCAAAGGTCTGTTAATTAACTTTGTAACAATTCTAAGATATAATGGAAGATCTGGCTAGGCCTTTGAATGCTTTTCTTCTCAGGACAAACGAGTATTGTTCTATATCAACGAGTAATAGAATTAACACCAGAAGCTGCCCAGAAGCCAAAGAAAGTAATACAAGAGACCAAGACATTCCTCCTAGCTACAAATGCAAGGCATATCTGGGCAGGTATATCTAGTGACCAAGAACCCCACAGGAGGCACATGCTAAGTTGTACTCCATACACATGTGAATTCAAGACTGTGAGTTTCAGAACTTACACACTTTGTAGACCTCACATAATTCCCATTAATCCCCAAATGAGAAGCTACAAAGTCACGCTGCCCCATCTGTGAAACGATCTTATAGACATGACACAAACAATCAGGAAGAGAGGCCACTGGCCTAATGTTACAGAAATTCTCCTGGTCAGTTTGTACCTTAGGCTGCTTTTCCTGCTAGGTTTACTGTAACAGGATTAGGTCTACCCAGAAAGTGAGACAAAACTAATGGGTTCATACTGAACCACCTGAGATAATATATTTCTAATACACTAACATTTAAGCTGATTTTTAAAAATTGGTTATTATTCTACTGATTCTAACTGTTTTGGGAGAGTCAGGAATTCTCACAGGTTCTGGTAATCTGTTTTCTATCAATGAACTAAAATTCCAATAGACAACATGGTCTCCAGGACCCTTATGTCCCCGCACAGCTTAATTTGGCACATACCAGGAAATAAAAAGTCTCTATTCAATATAACTCTCATGTTAACTGCAACATTGGTCTTACTAGATAAGTAATGTAGTCTCATACTTTAAACTGATTGATAGAAACAAAGTATCTTGGAAGCATTCTTCCTATATTTTCAAGGATTTTTGTCCATGCTAATCACTGAGTTGGTGAAGTGGTACTTAGGGTAACCATTAAGCAAGTAGATAAAGAGACAAAACAGTAACAACTCAGGGGCTTGAGAAGCAGGGACCTTAGTGCGTCTAACATGCTGCACTGCTGTATCCAGCTAAAGAGGCTGGAAACACTTTTCGAGGACAGCAGCTCTACCACTGTCCACCAGAACAATTGGCTATATGCTATCCCCCGGTCTTATCCTTATCCTTAGACCTTTATCACCAATATAGCAGCCAATAGCCACATACAGTTCTTTTATTGTTGATGTTTTTGGCTTTTTGTCTCAGCCTCTTGAGTATTTAGATTATAGGCATGTGCTACTATACCTGGCTCACTACATGCACTTTTATAAAACTAAAAAATAAATAAATAAAACAATCAGCCCCATAATCAGACTAGCCACATTTCAAATATCTGATAGCACCAGCTTGCTAGTGGCTACTATACTGAACAAAGAAAAGTATGTAACCTTTCTATCATCAAAAATTTTCACAGGTAGGGCTGGTGGTGCATGCCTATAATCCCAGCATTCAGGAGGCTGAGGGAGGAAGTTCTCAAGAAGTCTGAGGCTAGTCTGAGCTAGGCAGTGAGACTCTGCTTCAAAGAACCAAAACCAAATCAAAATCCCACTAGACAGCATGGCCTCAGAGCACCTGCAGCCAGACCTGGAATTGTTATACAAAGTCTACAGAATGTTGGGAAGAATTATCACCTGCTAACAGCTTCCAGGAGCCACAAGACCCCCATCCAAAGACCTTGTACAAGTTATTAATAAATAACCAGAGAATAAGGTGAACATAAAAAGTGCACAGATATTAAGTTCCTTTATAATTCAGATAAAATTAGATCTTTAAATTCTAAGTAGAAAAAACATACTTCTTTTGGAAAAACATTCTGCTTTTAACTTTTCTGCTTGTTCTTCAGTCGCCAACTCCCAGGAGGTACATCGAGATGACCCTGTGTCCCACAGACACCGGATACCAGGTCCTGCTGCTACACAAGCTGCCTCACTGTGGTGCGCCTCACACTGCTCCGAGGTAAAGACTAAGACGTCACTGAGGAGGAGGCTGTTGAAGCCGCCGAACACATACATGGTACTAGAGGAGAGAGAGAAGGAATTACTGACAATGCACACAACACATGCATGACATAGGGCTGGCTTTGTTGTTGGAAAATTTGAAATTGGAGAGCCGTTTCGCTGTGCAGCCCTTGCTGGTCTAGAACTTTTGTAGGCTAGACTGGTCTCCACCTTAGGGCATCTTCCTGCTTCTGTCTCCCATGTGCTAGGATTTTTATATGCCTGGCTTAAACTTTTGACTGTCGATCTTTAGAAAACCTGTAAGTATTAAAAATCCTGTGAGAGGCTGGTGAGATGGTTCAGCAGGTAAAACTCTTGCCACCCACCTGGACGATCTGAGTTCAATCCCTGGACCCATAATACGGCGGAAGGAGAGAAGTGACTTCACAGAGTTGTCCTCTGACTTCCATAGGTATGCTACAGCACTCACGTGGCCCCACCGCATAACTGAGTCATTCTAAGTGCTCTGAGAAATTGTTTTCAAAGTCTCAAAAACCGTTACTATCATCTATTCTCTAAATTCTACCTTCCATTCTGCTTGGTGATCACTCAGAACACTTTCAATAATCTACCTGACAATGTGCACATGGAAAATTAGTACACAGGGAAAGTGGCATTTTAAAAAGATGTATGTATGTGTGTGTGTCTCCATGAGGGTATGTGCACTTGTGTATGGGTGCCCAGTGAGGCCAGAAGGTGTTGTAGTCCTTGGAGCGGAAATGACATCTTCTATTTTAGAGAGAAGACAGACTCCTGGGCTGGAGAGATGACTCAGTAGTTAAAAGAACTTGCTGCTCTTTCAAATGACAGTTTGAGTCCTAGTACCCACAACAAGCAGCTCACAAACACCTAAAACTCCAGCTTCAGGAGACCCACCTCCCTCTTCTCTAGTATGTAGGGCCCACATGCACATATGAGTACACACACATACACAAAAATAAGGAAAAAGCAGAGAAATTTTAATACAAAGAAGGCTACATAGAGAGTGAGAGAAAAATTATAGACAGGAAAAGTAGTCCTGGAAGCCTTTAGCCAACTGAGAAAGCAAGAATTCTAACCCAATTAATAACTGCTTAAGGTCTTTCCCCATTCCTCGATATCAACACAGCATTCTCTAAGAATCTTACCAGAAGCCCTATTTACAGAGAAAAACCATGTCCTAAACCTCTAACAGGGCCTGATTTTATCTTTGCAGTCTGTAATGCCATCTGATCCATTTCCAGTGCCACTTGTACTCTCAATTATCAAAGAGAACAGACAGAAGGGTCCCATGGAAACATGTTGCACAATAAAATTCTAAAAAGCTATGTATAGTCACCATGAGGACACCCGAAGTGTGACTCCTCTTCTAGAAGCCACACTCATGCTTTATTCTTTCCCTGAGCACTTTCCTTTTAAGTCTTTTTGTTGTTGTTGTTGTTGTTTTGAGACAGGATTTTTTTTGTAGCTTTTGGAGCCTTTCCTGGAACTCACTCTGTAGACCAGGCTGGCCTCAAACTCACAGAGATCTGCCTGTCTCTGCCTCCCAGAACAGCCAGGAGTGTGCCACTACCAGCCAGACTTTGCAACATACTGGCTAGTCCTGAGAATCATTTCTGTATTGAAGCCATGAATCCTGGTGTTGCCTGAGTCAAGGTCCATAAAAGACTAAAGGAACTATGTGGGTGACATATTTCAATTCGTATGCAGGGAAAATTAGTGCAGCTGTCATTATGAATATGAAGAAATTTGACTTTAGTCAGAGAAATGCAAATTAGAACTACATTGTTGAGCCATTTGTTACCTAGAAGAAAAAAGTAAAATTTGTTACTTGTTAAACTGGCAAAAAAAAAAAAAGTAACAAATGTTACATAATATTTGAATTGGTGAGGCTTCAGGGCAACAGGCAAACTCATTCACTGCTGCTAGGCATGTAAGATTATAAAGTCTACATAAAGGATTTTGGCAACTTGAAACAAAACTACATATTTACCCTTTTGACCCTTAAGTCACTTTTCTAGAAATTACATAGATATAGTGCCACAGAGTGATCTTCAGTATATTGTTAGATGTGTGTATGGTGGAGGAATGGGCAATGCAGAGAAAAATATACAGAATATGTAGCCATTTACCTTCTGGGAGAAAAAAGGGTCTGATATACACATAGTTTATTCCCCTTTACAAAAACAAGACACACAACATTTCTTTAACTTGCTTTTGCTTGTTGGAAATATGGTCTCACTCAGAACTTTGTAGCCTACGCTGGCCTAAAACTTAGGACTTTCAACCCTGAAGAATTCCTCTTATCTCAGACACTTGAGTGCTGGGATTATAGGCATGAGCTACCCTGCCTGCCCAACCTGTATTCTAAAAAGACCAATCCAGTAACAATGGAAAAAACTAGGCCTTAGATTGTGGTGTTTAAAACTCAATTTTTGGAAAAGCAGGATATGTCTGAATTAGATGTTCTTCCCCAAGCTAAACAAACAAAACAAAACAATCCCCCACTGTTTCCTCTCTCTCTTTCCTTCCTTCCCTTACTAGACCTGTCTAGAGAAAAATTCAATTTCATGTCTAGGTCAAGAAATGCTTACAATGCATTTGCAATATGTACAACAGAGACATACCAGGGTTGTCAGACTCACGTGCTACTACAAAAAGATGCTCACTAGCTAGAGTTAAGAACTACACTAGATGAAACACACCAAATATTTTTAAATCCAAGTTCACAACGACATTTGCATCCTCAAAAGAAACCTCTTCTGTTATCTCTGGACTGCGATAAGCAAGGCTTCTCACATCTCCAATATCCTATAGCTCCAAGCAGGTTTAATACTACTCTACAATGAGGAATTTGGTAACTCACCTGCACTGATCTTCAATTTTTCTCTCCAAACCAACTAAGGGCTAAACAAAGCATAGTGACTGTGTGGCTTTGTATTCATTAAAATATCTGAAAACCAGACATTTCAATAACCAAAAAGAGAAACTCTAGGACACGATTTTTACCTCACTACTGGCTCCTGAGTCTGACATGAATCAAGTTGGATTTAGTTAATAAATCTGTGGCTTAAACTGAGCACAGCTGGTGTCCTCCGAAGTTCTGGACATCTCAGATCACACCATGGCTCTGGGAGTCTTCCGGGAGTCTTAGAGAAGGCAACTAAGAGAAATGCTGCCTCTCTGTCTAACAACCTCACAGTCTCACAGCCTTCTCTCCTTCGACCTCTCTTAAAATTGTAACAATTAAGTCAGACACCAGTGATCAAGTGTTGCTAACTGATAACACAAGGAAGAGGTCAAAGTTATCCTTCAGCAAATTATTTTATACAATTAAATTGCAACCATGGGGCCTTCTACCATTCTCTGCCTCTTCCAACCCTGCCTGAAATTCAAACACACCACAGGAATTACACAAAATAAAAACATTATAATCCAGACAGCTTTCCTGATTTTAATTCATGGCTAAATTATACTTTATGACAAACTGTCAACTTTGCTGAGTTTATGTAAAACTTAAGAATGTTTTAACAGAATATTCATTCATTTGATATTATTAGTTAGATATCTATTAGTATACTTGCCACCTATCAAATGCCCACAACGTGCCTAACCCTGTGCTGGGAGAGCACCAAGAACATACAAGTGAAGAGATGGCACAGCCAGCCACCAGCAAGACCAGGTGGCTGATGCTTGCCAAGTGAAAACCTCAAGAGACACTTAGGACCTTTTCTGAGCGAAACAATCAGATTGCAATTCAAGACAACACTTAAGTTAACAAGATAATAATTAAAAAATGCTCCCACTTTGGTATCTAGAACTAGAATGGTATTGCCACAAAACTCTACATACTTGTAAAAACATTCAGTAATCATATGATTAAAGATATCACCTTTCCCAATATCTAGCTTCTAAATGGTCAATTCTTCCCATTTCCAGAATGTCATTTTTGTACTTTTCCTAATACAAGTAATTTAACAGAAAATTTGAAAACCTAAGGAAATATTTATACAACTAATTTGAATTTTCTTTTATTTTTCAAGACAGGGTTTCTCTGTGTAACCCTGGCTGTCCTGGAACTCACTTTGTAGACCAGGCTGATCTTAGACTCACAGAGATCTACCTGCCTCGGCCTACGAAAGTGCTGGGACTAAAAATGTGTGCCACCACCACCCATCAGGATTTATAAAATTTGAATTTTAAAGGGGGAAGCAGAAAGCAGTAATAATAGCAGCAAAATGAGAAAAGTTCACATCAGTGGGCTGCTTAGCGTTTCAGTCTTTAAAGTATACTTTAAAGTGACCAGTCTGTGTGTCCTCATGGCAAATGCTGCATCTGAGGAAGGCACAGAGCTGGGGTCGGAGCTCAGGACCTTGTGCATGCCAGGAGAGCAGTCTACTGCTGGGCCATGGCCCAGTCCTCTGAACATCCTTTCCTGGACTAAGCTTCCCGGGGGCAGGTGGACAAAGAGCTCTGCTGGTCAGAAAGGGGTTCCTGAGCACACCCTTAGATGCAGTGCAAACTTCAAACTTGCTCTTTGTCTCCACAGTTCCCTTTACCTTGGCCTGAACTTAAACTGCCCCCTCCTTTTTTTCTCCCCAAACCTCTCACCATTCAGATAGAACTATTAGAAAAGTGATATAAAAAAATACAGAATGTAAGACAGTAACATAACCTTAGCTTTCCAGTTACCTGTTGTGTAAGACTGCTGAATGGCCAAATCTGTTGACATCATGGTGGAGATCAGGTCTGGGAAGCACTGACCATCGGTCACAAGCTAGGGTAAGAAAAACACATTTCAGAGGAGACTGTCATTTATAGTCAACAGGAACTGACAGTCTTTAGAAAGAAGAATGCAGGCCAAGAGTGGTGGCATAACCTTTGATCCCAGCACTCAGGAGGCAGAAGCAGGAGGATCTCTGTGAGTTCAAGGACAGCCTGGTCTACACAGTGAGCTCCAGACAGCCAGGACTGTATGGGGGGGGGGGGGGGGCGCGGGGAGAAAGAAAGAAAAAGAAAAGAAAAAATAAAGAAGAATGCAGTGAACACAGCCTTATTTATGAAAGATGCTTTTCTTCCATTTTAGTAATGCTATTGTGTGTAAAGCAGCAGCAGCAGTATTTCAGGGCATGAAATAAAAGCACTGCACAGAGATGCTAATCAATGAATGCAGTTCTCACCCACAGCATCCACTCTACTGTCTGCCATTTTTACCCACCAGAATGTCTGCTTTAGTCCTGAATTTTCTTCTTCCTTGTGGTGCTAGGGATCAGCCCCAGTGCCTTGTGTATGGCAGGTAAGCACTCTACTGCCGAGATGCATCTCCAGCCAGTCCACCAAGACATTTTCTAACTTAAAAATTTTAATGCAGCTGGTCGGTGGTGGTGTAAACCTTTGATCCCAGCACTTGGGAGGCAGAGTCAGGCGGATCTCTGTGAGTTCAAGGCCTGCCTGGTATACAGAGCAGGTTCCAGGACAGCCAGGGTTACACAGAGAAACCTGTCTTGAAAAACCAAAATAAATAAGTAAATAAATAAATTTTAAGCTAGGCATGGGTACACATCTGTAATCCTAGCACTTGGGGAGGTGGAGACAGGAGGACCAGGAGTTCAAGGTGAGCCTCAATTACAAATACACAGCAAATCTGAGGCTTCCAATAGAGTAAAATCTTGTCATGAAAAAAAAAAAAAAGGCAATTTTATAGTCTACAACAGCAAAATACAGGGGTTCACAAATTTTTTTATTTTTGTTTGTTTTTGAAGACAGGGTTTCTCTGTGTAGCCCTGGCTGTCCTGGAATTTGCTCTATAGACCAGGCTGGCCTCCAACTCAGAAATCCACCTGCCTCTGCCTCCCAAATGCTGGGATTAAAGGCATGTGCCACCATGCCAGGCTCACAACTCTTTTCTATTTGCCTCTGAATCTTAAGGCAATGGAAAAAGTATAGGCAGAAAATTTAAAAAAAGATCCTATTGAACTTTGTGGAATGTCCAAGTCTTTTCCTAGTTTTTCCAGATCTCCTGGTTTGTCCTTTGCATGGCTCGTGCTCCAGCTTCTCCGCTGGAGCTCACATCAGCTGCCACTGCAGAGCCATGCTTATGCCCACTGTCTCACCCTGGTTCTGCAATCCAGCCACACCTTCATTCAGCTTCAACAGCAGCAGCCCTCACTTCCTGCTAGCCTCAACCCTATCTTCCTCACAGGGAGAACAGACCAGACCTGGAACCACAATGTAGCAAGACCCCTGGACCTCTTACCTACTCCCCAGAGATCCTTCCTCTAACTCATCAGCTTATGCCCTCTGTCCTTACAGCCTCCAATCAGCCTGCAGCTTTCACCACGGCATGCCCAAGGCTATTCTTTCCATCTTCCCAACACCTTCTCATTCCTCTGCTTCCTCCAGCTTGAAGAAGAACTGACTATAACGTATCCATCATTCTCAATTTAAAAGTTCAGTGGTGGCCTGGAGAGATGGCTCAGAGGTTAAGAGCACAGGCTGCTCTTCCAAAGGTCCTGAGTTCAATTCCCAGCAACCACATAGTGGCTCACAATCATCTATAATGAGATCTGATGCCCTCTTCTGGCATGCAGGCATGCATGCAGACAGAACACTGTGTACATAATAAATAAATCTTTAAAAAAAAAAAAGCTCAGTGGCTAGCACAACCACATCTGTAAAAACAAACACCTGGGGCTAGGAAGATGGCTCAGCAGTTAAGAACACTCACTGCTCCTCCAAAGGATTGGGTGTAGTTCCAGCACCCACATCTCAGCTCACAGCTGTCTGTAATTCCAGTCCCAGTGCCTACTTCTGGCCTCCACGGACACTGAACACACACAGTGTACTTAACATACATGCAGGCAAAACACTCATACACATAAAATAAAAATAAACAAGATTTTTTAAAAATGAACATCTGACGTAGACTAGTAAAAATCAGAGGCAATCAGAAGAATGTGATTTCAAGAGGCTGGAGCGAAGATGAAGAGAGGAACTATTACTTAAGGGCAGAGGGTTTCCGTTTATGAGAAGCCAGCATGCAGATGGAGGATGACACAGCATAAATAACATCATAAATATGTTTAGTTCACTTAAACTACTTAAAACATTAAGGTGGTGAGTGTTGTTATGTATATTGTGCCACAGTAAGAATAATTTTTAAAATGAACATCTAGTCAGATGTGGTGGTACACACCTTTAATCCAAGGACTCAGGAGGCAGAGGCAGGAGGAACTCTCTGAGTTCAAGGTCAGCTTGATCTACATAAAGAGCTCCAGGCCAGCCAGAGCTACATAGTGGGAGACCTTGTCTCAAAAAGCAAAACAAAAACAAACAAAAGAATATCTGATGGTATTAATACAAAAGAACATTAGATGTTTATTTTCTAGGAATAAGTAAACACTGCCCTCTTCTGGTCAAAAGCATGCATAAAGACAGGTTTCTAGAAAATGGTGTACAGCTAATGCAGACCTCATCAAACTTAACATGCTTGTGGTTACAACTACACACTACTACTATGTAAGGCAGTTACCAAAGGAGATGCCAGTTAAATTAGCCTTAAAAAAAAAAAAAAAAAAAAAAAAAAAAAAAAAAAAAAAAAAGGATTTCAAGCAATTAATAAGAATGACTTCAAAAAGAATTTAATGTAGCTTAATGTAAACTAATGCTTTTCAATAAATGTGAAACCTTACTCAAATAAATACAAATTCTACCACTTGGGACTTCTTTATTTTTTTTAACTTTATTTATTTATTTATTCAGGTATTTCAGGACATGGTTTCTCTGTGTAGCTTTAGCTGTCTTGGAATTTGCTCTGTTGATCAGACTGACCTCCAACTAAAGAGATCTATCTGCCTCTGCCTCCCAAGTGCTAAAAGGTGTGTGCCACCACTGCCTGGCTGGGCTTCTTTCAAATGGTGCAATTATTTTAACATCAATCCTCAATGTTGTTCATAGGCAAAGAAAATACTGCTAAAGTTAAAACATCTTTGGGAAACTTACCAATGTCATAAGCCATGAAGTCTGAGGAGAAGCATTTGGCGCCATGGCTCATGGATGTGTCGTTGTGTGTGTTTCCTCCAAACACCAGCATGGTTCCACTCACTATCACAGCTGTATGCAAGTAACGGAAAAATCGGCTGTCCTTAAGAATGGTCCTTTTGAGTTTATTTAAAAATAATAAATACAAGGTTAGTTTTATAAAAATACTTAGCTATCTGCCAACTTACATGTAATTACTCTACAACTTCGGCAACAAATGTGCAGTACTTGATTTTCCCTATATATAAGCCACTTCCTTAATAAATTCATAAAAGTCTCTAAGAAGTTTAGGAAAGTATAATAAGAGCCCTAAAACGTTCATAACCTATGGCTCTATAATTCTAGTTTCAGGGTAAGAATTATATAAAATTACAGATCAAAATTTATGCTTAATGTTTTATTAGTAATGCAAAAGCTAGAGATCAGAACTTCCGACTATATAGGCTCAGTGGTGCACAGCCACTGAGGACAGTGATCTCCATGACAATAAAAAATTACATCCACAGCATGGTCTCTGTTGTATGTTGAGACAGGAAGGCAGAAAGGGAAGGAGGGAGAGATGGAGATGGAGACCAATGCTTTATAATTATTTCATAACTCAAATTTATTTACATTTGCTAAAAGTACAGGCTGAGCTACAGTTCAGAGTGAGGAAAACTATCAATTAGGTATGAAACACCCTGTTTGATATTTTAAAAGGATAAACCAGCAAATGCCCCACAACAATGACACTTTGCTGATCAAGACAAAAGTTAAACAGTATACTGACTGATGGTGCAGCCTATTCATGTGCAAAGCCCTGGGTTTGATCCCCAACACCAAAAAAGGAAAAAAGAAAGGTTATGCTTTTTAAGTAGGTTTAAAATCAGCACAACTTTATTCCTGAGAATTCTGAAGAGATGAAATCTATAGTACAGTTCAGTGGATGAGAAGTGAAATCAGTCCACAACACTAAGCACTTTCTAACTATCCTAACAACAGAAAAGCTAACAGACAGCAACAAAACAAATACTACATTAACTTTTTACCGTATTTATTTCCTAACTTTGTTACACACAATGCTGAACAGAAAACAAACTGTAGCACAGTATTTTTCAACCAATTGCCTGTCCAGAATCTACACCATCAAGGGAAAGCTTGAGGAAAAGCACCTACCACATCTGGGTATCCACATCATATCTGTAGAGGTCATCTGCAAGCCGGTATTTATTGGCGCTGAAAGCCTTGTAGCCACCATGGACATACAGGGCCTTGGTCCTGTGATCATAAACACTGCTGTGACCATAACCCCCTTGTACAAGAGCACCCTGAGTGTGTAGTATACTCCATGTGTTCTTTTCTAGAAAAGAAAAGACAGTTAAAGTCAATGTTGCAGGCTCCTCTTCTTATTAAGCATTAAATAATTTAAACTATTTAAACAGTAGTTTAAAGTCTAAACAGCTTAGAGCAAAAGAAGGAAGTTCAGGATACACTTTCATCATATTATCTAGGTAAATGAGGCAGGTGGATGACAAGTTCAAGGCCTGTCTGGACAATTTAGTGAGACCTCATCTCAAAAGAAAAGGTTCTGGGGACATACCTTAATGGCAGTGTTGGTCTAGCGTGCACAAGGACCTTGGGTTTAATCCCCAGTACAATTAAAATAAGAAGAAAGAGGAGGAGGGAGAGGGTAAGGAAGAGGGAGAGGGAGAAGAAGAAGAAGGAGGAGAAGGAGGAGGAGGAGGAGGAGGAGGAGGAGGAGGAGGAGAAGAAGAAGAAGAAGAAGGAGAAGGAGAAGGAGAATTATTATTATTATTATTATTATTATTATTATTATTATTATTATTATTATTAGGTGTGGTAAAGCACAAGTGATATGAAAGAAGTGGTGTTGGGGGGATATTGGGAGCCAAATGTTTAAGTAGGGGAAAAGGGCTGTGGGAGAAAAGAATAATAAGAGCTGGGTTAATGAAAACTAAGGATACATAGAGAAACCTTATGAAAGCCTGCAGGTTTGTATGCTAACTCAAAATCTCAGTTACAGGTTACCTTCCTACAGGTCACTAGTCTGGCAAGTATCTAAAAATATAGACTGTTGCCATGCTCCTGGTTGCCCACTATAACTAGATGGTAGAATCTTACCGCTGAAGACACTGAGTATTTTGGTTTCAGGATATGGAAAAATAAATCCTGAACAGAATAAGAAATGCCATTCCTGCTAGCTAGCTGTCATAGTGCTAAGAAGGTATTATGTAAGCTGCTGAGAGAAAGAAGTCACCAACAGTCGTACCCAATGCTGGTCCCTTGAAAAGCAAAGATGTACCCTACCCTGGTACAACAGTGACAAGACCATCAGCAGTGGGTAACCACCAGTCTCTTCAGTCAGGTTTGAAGGCTACTCCACAGGAGGGACTCCATGCCTGCTACAGTAAGCATGGTCAAAACTCACAGCTCAGGAAGTCATGGACTCAAGAAGAGAAACTGTTGACGTTGTTTTCCTAAAGTCATGTTGTCAAGCTGCCTTCTAAATAATTGTGTTTAAGTAGAGAAATCTGTGTTACTCTGAGCTGTGGTCAAAGAAGCTTTTCTTGCAATGGGTAGTGATTAATTCAAGGTTCAGAGTGCCGAGAATGAGGGAGTGCTCAGCCACAGAAGGGTAGGTATCAACCTCTGCCCCAAGACTCAGAGAACATCTTGGAGAGAATGTAAGAGCCTGAGGATAAGACAACTTCTGTGAAATGCTGTCCCCTAAACTTGACATGCTGTTGCACACATGGACTCACAGCAGCTGTGGTCACTGCACAGGAACTACACAAAATCAAGCAAGTTAAAAATTCCAGCATACAGCAGGGAGGAGCGGCCAAGACCCCCCCCCCCCCCCAACTGAGAAGCTACTGGTAGTGGAAGGCTGCTCTAGTCTTAAGAACAGAGAGTCATTTTTCCTTAGGGGTACTAGTACACTGTTCATGTCCCAGTGGATGACCCCACAACTATGCAAACGGGCTGCACTAACTGGACTCGGTATGTTAGCCCTCGAAAGGAGATATAAATCTGGGAAGAAGGTGTGTTGGGGAGGAGCCTGTGGGGAGATGGATGGAGAAAATGGGTGGTAGGTAAGATCAAGATACATGCAGGGATACATGCATGAAACTTTCAAAGAACAAATTTTTAAAGATTCAGATTTTTAAAATAAATTTTAAAGACTAAAGATTCAAATTTCTCTCAGAGACATTTAATTTCCTATGATCTTAAGTGATTCCTTATGATTTTCAGATGTACTTTAATGATCTTTAGATGTACTTTATAGGACTACTTTATCAAAACTTCAATTCTGACACTCCTATATACAATGAAAAACAACAAAACTGAACACAAGGAAAGATTATACCTTAAGGTAAAATAACATTGCATTAAACTAACCTCTAAAGGGCTATACAAAATTATTTTACAGTGCTTATTGTTTTAAATTATGCTCATTTTGATACCCAAAGCATTTAGTGCCGTTTTGGCTATCTTTGGCAAACTAACAGTAACAAATGTTTGTTGCACAGGGACATCAACAACTTGGATCTTACCAGTTATATACTGATATTAACTACTGGAAGGCAAAGTACTGGATCAAGGTTAGGTTGAATTTTTAAACTGTCCAAATAAGGGTAGGGCTTTTTGATCTGATATTCAAGGTGCATCCACTGGGAAAAATATACATACCTAAGTCATACTCCTGCACAACGCTTATATATCCATAGAGTGGGCAATGACCAAAGATGACCAACATGACCACACGGCCTGTTGCCAGTGTGACAATGTGTGCAGAGTGTCCAACTACTGCATACTGCTCCTTCGCTTTGGGTGTTAACAATGCCCATGATTCATTATGAATATGAAATACTCTCAACTCATTGGTCACATTCCCTGTTGAATCAATTTTTCCTCCATACATGTAGATTTTATCCTACAAGAAAGATGTAAACAGGATTTTTAAAACCATTTAAAAAAAATCAAATCTAGGGCTGAAGAGACGGCAGAGCAGTTAAGAGCAGCTGCTGCTCTTGGAGGGGACCAGGGTTTGGTTCCGAGAAACCACATGGCCACTGACAGTTCCTGGGGTTCTCATGCCCTCCTCTTCTGGCCTCTTGTGGACCAGCATGCACAGACACACAAGCAGGCAAAACAGCCATACACATAAAATAAAAATAAATACATCTTTTTAAAAAATAATATCTGAGAACAGAAAGATTGGTTTACAACCTCATTATTATTATTATTAGCTGAAGAAGTATGAGTAAAATGTACTTTTCAGTGAATTACTAGGAACAAGATACAGAAAGAACAAAATAAAATAAATCACATTCTTTATCTCTCTAAAGCACCTTCTTCACATGAGATGTATTACAGAAAAAAATGACTTAGAAAATGAAGCTGCCTCATCCTACAACATATGCACAAAAACAAGGAAATGAAAATGATTACTCAGTCACACTGCAATGTGGCTAAACTTGCTAATAAGCATGGGGCTCACTGACACTTGGATCTTCATTCTTAACCACTCGGCATTGTAACCATAGTATCCCAGTACAATACCATGGATTAAAAGAGTTCCAACTTCAATTTCCAATTACAACTTGGCCAATTATATACTCCCATCACACCAAAGTTTATACCAATTAAAACCAAAGATGAAGAGCTATTCAATGACATAAAGCAACAAGAAGAGTTGACTTCTTGCTTGGTAAAGAGTTGAGATAGTTTACCTTATATAATGCCAAAGAATGACCATATCTTACAATCACACTGTTCACAGAATGGTTTAGTGGCAGCCACTCCCTAGAAGCCAGGTCATACCTACAAAACAAACAGACCATATTTTCACCCAAATGACAAAACAGGACATCTTGTATTTGTCTATTTATGATATAATCCAGTTCAGAGACTTTCAATAAACAACCAGGGATACAGGGAGGCACATGCTATTCTGGCAAGCATATCTGATACCTGAGCCCATTGAGCGTGTGAGAACTCACAACAGGGAGGCCGACTACACAATCCTGGGATATATACATCTACTGGGAGCTTCTGTAGCTTCTTGCAAATCTCTTCAACATAACAATCTAAGCCATGGGAGTTTCTATTATAAAGGGACTTAAACTTAGTAGTTCACAATAACTTTCATTCATTTACTAATGACAAACTGAAGGCAAGTACTGAAAGAAGATGATAATTAAAAGAGAATTACTGAGCAAGTAAGACGGCTCAGTGAGTAAAAGTGCTTGCTACACAAGCCTGACCACCTGAATTCTATCCCTGGAACCCACACGGTGGAAGAAGAGAACCAACATGTGTGTGCATAAGCATGTACACACATTGGGGAGATCTGGAGGGAGTGGGAGAATTTGGGATAGATATTATCAAGATTATGTGTGTATGTGTGTGTATGAAATTTTCAAAGAATATTTTAAACGAAAATACCAGTATTTCTTTTGATTTAATCATTCATTCCAAGAATGCTAAAATATAATTATAACAATTCAATCATACTATAAAATCACCTAAAGAATTCTAAATACCAAATTCTATCCCTGGGATCCACATGGTGGAAGAAGAGAACCAGCATGTGTGAAATAGTTTTTATAAAGACTAAAAAGAATATCTGCTGATGAAGCTTTGTGTTAGAAAGCATCGCAAGATAGGCAAACAGATACATAAAACTATGAATTACTAACTCTACCACATTTTTACATCTATTTAAAGCAAGTAACACTAGCATCAGGACCCTGATTGTTTCTGTGACTCTGGAGCAGTACATAAGGCCTTCCTCTGAACCCTGTGACTCTGGAGCTGTACATAAGGCCTTCCTCTGCACCTTGTGACTCTGGAGCTATACATAAGGCCTTCCTCTGCACCTTGTGACTATGGAGCAATACATAAATAAGGTCTTCCTCTGCATTCTGTGACTCTGCAGAGGTACATATGGCCTTCCTCTACACTTGGGAACTTTAATTTCCTGACCTGGACAGAGGAGAATGCACTGGCATTTGTTAGCTTTTTTCTCTGAACTTTTCCTCTGTCTTAGTATATACCATCTGAAACAAATATAACAAAATGGAGACATCTATTAAGTGTGACTAATACATAAATTGGAATTTAACTTACATATTTTAGGATATTTATTTTTAAAATAGATGAAAATTATTTCAGTTTGTTTTAATAATTAACTACTGATAATTACTATTTACTGCTTTTGTTAAACTATTTAATTAAGAAAGTCACTCACTGAAGTTTCAAAGGTACATACTATTTAATTTTAGACTCTATTAGCTCTCTGCTTTGAAGTTGAAAACCATAGTATTCACATTTCCAATCCCATTTCTTCTCCTACTTTTGCTCTACAACTTACAGTGTCCATGTTCATAACATTCACATTCCATTCTGTAACTTTAATCCAACAGTGATTAGTACTGAGTCTGTGTATAAGCTGAAGGGACCTCATCACAGTCCTCCTGCAATGACTTCTTCAGCTCTTCAATTCTTTACTGCTTGGAGTTCACTGTCAAGCTGTGTTCTGGTTTGAGACAGTCTCACTGAAAGGTTTTTTGCAGCGCTCTGGCCCCAAAGTAAAGGTCACAACACATGACAGAATCTACTAACAAGAGTTTTATCAAGACAAAGGGACAGATGTGATCAGGCCTGTGGAAGGACCAGGGGGGAACATGGCGCCACGTTATAAAAGCCAGGACGCACCTGCGCACACAGGCCCACTCACAGACCCGGAAATGACTAGGCGGAGATGACGGGCATGCACGACCATGGGCATGGCTGGAATTCCTATCACTCACCAAGTACAGTGTAGGCGCTGGCCTTGGACTTGTGGTCCTCTCACCCAAGCAATCTAAGTGCCAAGATGAGGCATAGGACACCATGCCTCGCTCAAGTGATGTTTAAACGCAGAGCTCTCACACATGCCTGTCCTGGTGTCCCTCGTGACTGAGAGCACTTGCTTGATACCATCACAGGTGAAGGGTGCCTTGGCTGGGTAAAATACTTCTACCATTCTTATGTTGCTGCCTTGAGAGTTACAGCTGGAATCGGCTGTTGCTATGCAAAGAGCTGAGCTAGCTTCAGGTCTCCCTTCTTTTAGTACTTAGCTTTTCTGTGTAGACCCTGAAGAATTATGTCACTCTCATTCTTTCTCTCTCCCTCCTTCCTCTGGTCTTTCTCTGTCTCTCCCTCACTATTTTATTTCAGGCACAAAATTTTATAAAAGCAAAAACAACTTAACTCCATTCAGTTTTTGTTCTTGTTTTGTTTTCTTTTTAAACAAAATGCACTGAAGAACAAGGTTTTGCAAATAAATAAATACAGAGCTCTTGACAGGTGCACCACTTCCTCAGCCCTCCTTCTCTGCACCTTTTGCAACATTCCTAACAGCATCTTGAGGCTCACATTTCTGGTATGCTGCAGCCACTGTAAGGATGGTCCCAAGAAGAATTTGCCATTTTCAGTGGAAAACTTGTTGGTGATTGTTTTGGGCGAGCCTGTTCTACTGATCTGGATGTGCTGAGCCTTTCTTTAAAGTAACTGCTGAGAGTTCTGGGCCAGCCTGGTCTACATAGGGACTTCCAGGCTAGCCAAGGCTATATAATGAGAACTTATCTAAGAAAGAGAGAGGAGGTAACCAGACTCTAAGCCCCAGGGCACATCCATGACCCTTCCTCCCATCTCAGCCCCAGCAAGGCAGCGGGGCCTGGCCCCAAACTCTGGTGGAATTCCACGGCTCTGATGCAGTCCCCAACAGCTGGCCAGCAGATAGATGAGAGACTTGCTTGCAGGCTTCACCACCACAGCTGCCACCCACTGGATTCTGTTCTCCCAAGACCCACTCCACCATCCAACCCCACCCACCTCATCCTCCTCTCTGTGGCCAGCCCTTTCCCAAAACTCCAGCAGACTCCATAGGCACAGCTACAACCCATACTAGATGGAAGAACAGGATGGCATGTGAATCTGGGCACCCAAACCCCCACAAACCTCAGCTGAGACACCCTTCTGAACCTAAAGAGCTGCTAGGCATCAGAACCCTTGGCCACTCAGGCCAGAAGGTAATAAAGGAAACAGATAAGAAAGGAACAAAACACCCATCCAACAAAGACAACACAAGAATCAACACCCAGACCTATAATCATTCCAAATCCAGATGTGCAAATGCCAGTGTAAGAACACATCAGTAACAGAATGGGCAATATGGCACCACAAGAACCCAGCGATCCTAAGACAGCAAGACCTGAACATTCCAATGCAGCTGAAGCACAAGAAAACGACCTTAAAATAACTTTATGAAGATGACAGAGCTCCTTAAAGAGGAAATGAAAAGTTCCCTTAAAGAAATCGAGGAAAAGACAAACAAAAAATTGGGGAAAAAAAAATCAATAAATCCCTTCAAGAAAGCCAAGAAAAAAACAATCAAACAGGTGAAGGAAATAATTCAAGACTTGAAAATTGAAATAGAAGCAATAAAAAAAAGAAAGAAAGAAAAAACACAAACTGAGGGAATTCTGGAAATAGAAATCTGGGTGAGCAAACAGTAACTACAAATGCAAGCATCACCAACAGAATACAAGAGATGGAAGAAAATCTCAGGCATTGAAGATACGATAGAGGAAATAGATTCATCGGTCAAATAAAATGTTAAATCCAAAAAATTCCTAACACAAAACATAGGAAATCTGGGACACCATGATAAGACCAAACCTAAGAATAATACAAATAGAAGAAGGAGAAGAATCCTAGCTCAAAGGCACAGAAAATATATTCAACAAAATCATAGAAACAAAGAGAATACAAAGAATCAATGAAACAAAGAGTTTTTCAAGAAAAATCAACAAGATAGATAAACCCTTATCCAAACTAACTAAAAGGCAGAGAGAGAATATCCAAATTAACAAAATCAGAAACCAAAAGGGGGACCTAACAACAGACACTGGGGAAATCCAGACAATCATTAGGTCACACTTCAAAACCCTATACTCCACAAAATTGGAAAAATCTAGAAGAAATGGACAATTTTCTGGATAGGTAACAAATACCAAAACTAAATCAAGACCAGATAAACAATTTAAATAGACCTATAACCACATAAGGAAATAGAAGCAGTCATTAAAAGTCTCCAAAAAAAAAAAAAAATCCCAGGGCCAGATGGTTTCAGCGCATTATACCAGATTTTCAAAGAGCTAATACCAATACCCCTCAAACTGTTCTGCACAATAGAAACAGAAGGAACACTGCCAAATTCTTTTTAATAGGCTACAGTCACCCTGATACCCAAAACACACAAAGACTCAACATAGAAAGAGAATTACAGACCAATTTCCATCATGAACATTGATGCAAAAATATTCAATAAAATACTGGCAAACCAAATCCAAGAACATATCAAAAAGATCATCCACCATGATCAAGTAGGCTTCATCCCAGAGATGCAAGGATGGTTCAACATATGAAAATCTATCATATAAACAAACTGAAAGAAAAAAAACACGTGATCATCTCATTGGATGCTAAAAAAGCCTTTGACAAAGTCCAGCACCATGATAAAGGTTTTGGAGAGATCAGGAATACAGGAACATACCTAAACATAATAAAAACAATATACAGCAAGCCAACAGCCATCATCAAATTAAATGGAGAGAAACTCAAAGCAATTCCACTAAAATCAGGAACAAGACAAGGCTGTCCACTCTCCCCATATTTATTCAATATAGTACTCGAAGTTCTAACTAGAGCAATAAGACAACGAAAGGAGATCAAGGGGATACAAATTGGAAAGGAAGAAGTCAAACTTTTACTAT